TTTGATCTGTCTCGTAGGGTTCAGCCAGCGTTTGCAATGTAAGCGCAAAAAATGTGTTTATTTACGACATCACATTAGAAACCTCTAAAATTATCGGTGTTTCCCTACTATATTATGCTTGTATTATACATATAAACCTTCCTCTTGAATCACTCTATCTTTAAAAAAAAACGCATCAAAATCCGTTGCTTACTTTGAAAGATTTAAGCATACATAGGGACAGACAGCGGGAAAGCGACTTTATTTTATACTATGTAGTGATTAAGTGTATCTAAAAATTTATCCAAAACAATAAAATGGTACTACTACTTGTTCTTTAAAGCCCCCATAATAAAATTTTTGATAGAATGGCCAACAATATAACTAACAAAAAGAAATAAAATTCTTACTTGGTCCGATGGCAGCAATTGAAAATCGTCTGGAGGATTGGTAATGACGTATCTTTTGCTACTAGCGTCGCATGAATTGCTAGTGTCGCGAAACCTGTAAAGGCCAATGCAAAGCATACCATATTGCTTCAAGGCGGCTACGAAAAGGTCCCCATACTTTCCACCCTCACCGAATTGAGCAAGTGGTCCATCATACAACGAAATCTGACCAACGCGACATCTGTCTCTATTCGATAAACTTTCGGGAGTGCTGAAATTAAGTTTATTAACAAATTCATCTACAGGTGCAAATATGAAAACTTTGCTATAGGCACTCTTTTTTTTTTTGTTTCTTTTAAGTGAAGGTATACATCGCGCAGAAATCGTTTCTTTGAAAATTATTTTAACAGATTTACTTTAAAATGCCATACTGCTATAAGTGTATTTTATGGCAATAACCATAGGAAATTGATCTTCACTCATATTTATAGAATAAATGTTGGTACCAGTCTAAACAAAAAATGTATATTTTCACAATTTGTTATCAAAGTTTGATTAACTTATGATTAATGGTCTGAAACTTGCATTTTGTTGGAACCTATTTATTTATCCTGAAAATATGAATGAATTATCCTACTGAGACCGACTTGGAAAAAAATTAAGTATGGTGACATTTTTCGTCCCACATATGTTTTAAACAATTTATCTGATCATTAAATGTATTTTACTTTATCTCATATGCATATTNACTTACCTGTTATCATTGGTACATTAGCTCCATAAACCGATCCTCTCCTTTGAAGGACGATGGGACTACCAGCCTGACCATTACCATCGTCACTGACTTGACTTAAGACTCCTATGGTATCATCAAATGTCATAGCCTTAATATTCAAAGAGGCCAAAATGGCCTCCTTATCAGCTAAAGTAGGATCGTCGTTGCTTGGTACCTTTGCCGAAAGGATGCAACACATATCACATAAGTTTACATTCACAGCTCTGAGATCGGCCCTGCTCAACGGCGAACCCTTTAAAAGTGATAACGTTTTCAGAAACAGTATTTTGATTTTGACCTCATGTACATACGTTTAGAACAGAAATTTTTGGTAGATTCTGAAGCATCTTCCACTCGCGACGAATGTACTCTACTGAACCAACGATAACAACATGTTTGAGTTCATGGTAATGGAAATTGCTAGCCCTTAACGGCATTACAAGATTTCTTAAACCTATTAAAGGGGAATCTGGATCGGCAAATAAACAAACCACCACGTGGCCGTTCAGGACCGTCATTGCTGCCTGATTTCTGTCCTGTTAAGAAGAAAAACAGCCAAATAGAAAATTAATTAAATATGTCCTTTTTAAAATAATAGGCAGAAGAGGGGGAAGAGTATAAAAAAAGTAGATGCATTAGAGAGAAAGATTGAAAAAATTGTTACAAGAAATCCATCACGTGAACCAAAGAAGGTCAAAATTGAAAAAGGTCCCACATATATTTTTGTTATATTTCTTTCAAGTTCCATTTGATTATTTTTAAAAACTGTTTAGAAATATTAAACAACTGCATCATATTTGCAACGGGAAAAATAAACTTTTAAGGATGTCCTTATAAAATAACATTGTCTTTTGTTTAAATACCATATTTTTACAATATTTTCGAAATATTTTGATGATGATACCGTCAGAAATTGAAGAAAAATACCCAATTTGTCAATATGAAGCAATGAAGAGTGGATATCGTTCATAAAGACACCAAAGGGCTCAGTGAAATTTGGTCGTTATAACTAGAGATGTGCAAAATAGTTTTTCTACTTTTACGTTATAATTTCTTAAGTTCAGCAGCAAATAATTCTTCTATATGCTTCCTTATTTACCTTTGTCACCTGTTTTAATTGGAAAAAAGACACTGATGCCAAAATAGGGTTGCAAATGCAAGATAAATGCATGTATTTCAAATAAATCTCATCTGTGGTTATAATCACAGTCTCAATATCTAAACGCCATGATATAATACTCAAATCTAGTTCTTTAAAAAAAAAACAACAAGAATTCATTCCCAACATACAAATGTAGCAAACAACTTTAGCATTTAAATTAATATAATTTGTGTCGGGGATCTTGAAATTTGGTCGCAATAGCCGCTATCTCGTTATAAACGATATCTACTGTATGCCATTATTACCTATTATTATTAATTGACTTACCAATAGACAATCTTCTAAATTTTTAGCAGGACTCCAATGAAACATACCCGTACTGTCGTATTTCATTTCTGTCTTTTCAAAATCGAAATCTTTTGCTTGATCGTCGGCCAAACCAACCGGTAGGGCAACGCCATTGCTGTTTTGGTTATTACCGCCGCTACTTCTACTAGTTGGCCTACAATACATTGTTATCAATATGAATATCAAACCTTGATCAGCCTGGCACTTCTTCGTTGGATACGTTTTTTTTTTTGTTAGTTTGCAACAGCAGAATAGATATCTATATGCATTTGATTCAGCATAAAAAATCTGATCGATTTTATTTATCGATCAGAAAGATAAATAGTTAAATTCTCTAGCTTGTGTAGGCAAGAGCTTTTCTAAACTAACTGTAGTAGCATTACACTTCTAAAATCTGATTGAACTGACTGAAGTATTTATTTAGTTTTTGAATTTTTTAAAGTATATGTATAACGCAAACACCTTGTAACA